GCTGTATTGCCGGTGAAAGTACCTAAACGATGCCTAGAGGGGTGAATAGGCTTTTTACAAATTGAAACCCTGCAAAACAAATATGAACAAGTGTTGGCCACTGTGAAATTGGCCTCACTGGTCAACAACAATAGAACCACCGGGCTTCGAGGTGTGTTGCCCAAAAACCGTTTTGTCCAATCTTTAATCCTCTTGCTTCCCTTCTTTTTGTCCAATGTGTTTTTGGGTGTCTTTTGGACTTGAACAACTTGCTCAAATGAAGACTATAATTTAGGAAATCGCGCCATATATAAATGAATGGTCAAAATATAATTTAGGAAATTGTGCCCCATGAGACTATGCTTTATGAACCAGGCCGGAGGGAGTAATAGTATAGAGTGTGTTTGGTTTCCTGGCCTACTTCTAGCCTGGCTATATAGCCATTCAAGTTTGGACAGCCGTAGCCTGTTTCAACAAAGCTAATTCCTAGTTACTTGGTTGCCTATATTCTCTAAGCCTGACTAGCAAATGATGTGTTTGGTTGCTTGGTTTCTGTGCATAGAATCACCCTTTCTTCGAATTAGTAAGTTTGCCCCTATGAGGCATTTCATCGAACATGTTGTGGGCGCACAGGGGAAGGAAGAAGCGAGAACCTAGGGGGCTGCTGGGATGGACCACCATCGTGCGCACCGTTCCGGGGAGCTCGTTGTTGTCCTTGCGGAGCTCCTCCTCCATCGAGGCGCTGCATGCCTCTAGTCGTGCCCCCGCGGAGCTCCTCCTCTGCCCCCCTCGCCATAGCCGAGGATGAGCGGCACCTCCGCTGGGCCCTAGCCGCGCGAGACGAATGCTTCATTGTGCGAACCGCTGGGGCCTCTCTGATGCTTGATCCCGCCGCCGCACCACGTGAGGCCATTGCTGCGGAGGCCACGTACCTCACGAGTTCACCATCGCGGGGATCTGCCGCCGCGCCACGCGAGCCCGCCATCTGCGCCGGTGAACCCGGCCATCAGCTGCGGAAGGAGGAGGGCGGGATGTTGTCGTTGCCGCACTTGCCGGAGGAGGGGAGACGGGGAGGAGGCGGTGGTCGTCACTGGAAGGTGAGGCGAGTGGACGCCAACATGAGACGTAGCCTGGCTATTCGGAAACGCTCACCCCTTCCGTTTCCGGCTAAGAGGCCGTCGGTGGCTTCGTGGAGCCTGGTTAGGAGGCCCATTCAGACAACCAAACAAGTATAGGTTGGCTTGAGTCTGGCTGGAGAGATAGCCAGCGAACCAAACATGTCTATAGTGAACCGAAAGAAAGTATTGTATGAAACAGCTCCACATACTAATTAACATTATTACGTAATTTTTATTGCCAGCTTTATTGCCCAAAGGAATCTCTCTCTCTCTCCTGATTATTTTACTACCAAATTAGCGAAAAGGTAATCATACGTGGCACCCGATTAATGTGCATGATAGAAGTAGCCTTAGGGCAGTTCCAATGCTAGTAGCCACCGAATGGTTTCTATCTTTATTAAGTAGACACTACACATAGAAGTTATGTACTCAATGGATAGTTTCTATGAAATAAATTTTTGTCCAATCACATGTATTCTCTTCTCATCCTCTACCTATCACATTTTTGGTGCCTTGATTCTCACATAGACATGGTTCCTTATTATCTAATAAACTAGAAGAACACCCCGCGCGTTGCTGCAGAAACTACTGATTTGGAATGGAATTTAACTATTCATACAATTCTTAGGAAGAGATTAACTATTATAAACTAATGTTAGTGGATAACGTGGCACGCTGATGTTGACAACTAAATGTATGTTAGTAGATGATGTGTCTGGCTGACGTGGATATCATAATTACTTGTGCTAGTGAACTTTAATTGCAAGTGATAGTGGACTGCTGAGGTGGACACCTTGAATGAAAATTTGCTAACGGGGTTTTGCTTTATAAGAGTATGGGATCATTTCCTCCTTCTTTAATTGCAGTGTCACATCATTTTTTAGCTTAGTTAGTATCTTAATTAATGAACATAGAAATAGAAATTATGTAGTGTCTTGGTTGGGAGTGCCCTTATCGCGACCAACAGTCAAAAGCCCTATTAAGAGCCTAATAAGAGCTACTTCAATTTGGGCCATTGAACAGAAGAAGAAGAGGTTCGTTATCCCTAACCGGTCCTGTAGCTAATGGGGACATGTTGCACATCTCACTTTCAATCAAGGAGAGGAGGTATGGAAAATTCCAAGGATGGCTGGATTCAGCTTTGCGCGTTCGATCATTCTCCGTCACGTACTCTCTCCGCCATCTCCGCCAGTAGGGTTTAGGAGTATGTATCACGGGAACAGTGCTTGCACTTGCACATTCGTGCCATCTTCCTCGTATAGGTACAACCGTACAAACCACGTTGTCCAGGTACATTTTGTTTTCCATTGACTCAATTTCAATGAAACCATATTGAACATATACAAACAATTGCGCATGACTTGGTTACTTGGGCACTTCTACGTACAACCCTTTGAATAACAATCTCACTCCGTCCTGCTGCGAGTAGGCTTGCCATTTCTCGGAGGGGAAAAAAATCTTGTGGTTGACAGCAAAGCATTATCGTAGGTTTGCGGGTTCATAAGCGTTTGGATGCTGTATATCCATCTCAGTCCATATTCGTCGGGGTGTGTTGACGTAGAATTTAGTGGGCATCCAAACATGCTCTAAATGGCAATCGTAGTAACTGTAGCTTGGTGTCTGCGCGACGTGAGACTAGCCATGTGGGATGTTTGTGGACGGAGGAGGCCCATCCCAAACCTTATCCCTAGGTGGCTCGCCAATGGGCGGACATGAATTTCCCTGCGTGGTCTGCCTGCACCCCCCTTGCCTGGATTTTTGTGTTACCTGTCATCGAACAAAGAAAAACCAAAAGGAAAAGAAAAAAGGTCCTGTACAGTGTACAGGAGTGAAGGACGGAGAGGGACGATCGGTCTATGAGTAGGGATAGAAATGGATGTCTGAAAATTCGAATTTCTCGTATCCGTTAAAACTTGTAATACCGATATTCGAATTCGTATCCGTTTCTAACGTGGATACTATGGATGCATCCGAATTCATTTTTCAGTATTTTCTCTATCCGGTTCCATATCCGTATTCGACAAAGGTATTATTGGAGTTTTAGAAAAATACCATGGTTTTATGAAATACTTTGGTTTTGGAGTGTCACGAAGTGTTTGGGTGGTGCAACAAACTTTATGGTTTTAAATACCATGGTATTGCTGAAACTGTAGTCTTTTTGGTGTTTTAAAAAATCCACCTTTTTTCTAAACCACGGTTTTACACATCAATGATTCTAAAATTATATATTTTTTTTACTATGGTTTCTCAATAGTACAACATCCAAACAAGGCCTCAAACCCGTGAAGGTGCCTCCTCCAAGAAAAACCTGACGAATGAAATCCACACGTTCCAAAACGAGTTGCGTCTGGACGGACGTCGTTGCCTGTACTCGATGGTTGGAACGACTCGCGTGCATGTCGCACGACGCCCACGCACAACACACCACACACGCACCGATAGCGCGACGACCGGTGCTTCAGTTCAGTTCTGAGCACCGGAACCGTCGGACCCAGCTCTCGGCAGTCCTCCTCCGTGTGTGCCGCGTCCGCCCGCCCGCCGGTGACGAGGCGCGCGCGGAGACCAGACCGACGGACAGCTAGCGCCGCGCGGCGCGGGGCCGTCGATCGCAAGGCGCCACCGGCGACGTCGCGTCAGCCCGCGTCCGTTTCCGCGGTGGCAACATGCCTACTACGCTTGTAGTAGTACTAGTCTATCACGAGGTCTTGCAGGCAGCAGTGTCCCCCCCAGGCAACGCCCCCCTCATCATCACCCAAGACTCGGCGCTCGGCGGGGCCGGCCCTGTTCGGAGGGGCAACGTCGCAACGACCAACCAGAACGTCCACGAGATGAGTGAAACACGAGTCGCGCGTCAGCACTCAGCACCGCCCGAACAAGCAGCCAAAACGAACCAGCGGGAAGGAAGCTGCAGGAGGCAGCAGCCCGTACGGAACACAGTGGATGCATGCGCTCGTACATCACCACACAATAATTGCATTGCATGCAGAATACACCATCTCCGGCATGGCATGTGACAGACCAGCTAATAAATCCTCAGAATTCTGAGGATTTATCCCTTCACAGAAACTCGAACAAATAAACCCTGAGAGTGGCAGAACTTTGACCAACGAAGGAAGTTGCAAAGAAACATGTATGATCCATAGAGGGTTGGCATGATGAGCCATTTAGCAAAAAACGGAAAGAAATGTTTATTTAACAACGTTTGATCCATTAGTCCCAATTACATACTCGTGGACATTATCAAGGGCCAAAAATGAGTAGACAAAGGGGGGGAAATCAAAACAAGATTACATCCTAATTAATACCCAACTCGCAGCAAAGGGGAGACTTGAGGAAATACGCAAATAAATCTGTAAAAAAATAGGTAATAGTACATCTTCACTTTTTTTTTACTTGCTTGTGTAAATACTACAGGCTGGGTGGGTGAGCAGGGTGGGAGTCCTCTCCATGGAAGGAAGGTCAGCTTCGACAATCGTCGAATGTTTTGGAGTAGGAGTCGGCAGAGGATAATCAGTCTTGCAAATTGCACCGTTAATCACCTTGTAGACAGTAGAGCTGGCGGATATTGCCCGAAGCTGAGGACATGACAACAAAGAATTTCCAGTTACCCACACAAAACAAATCGAGTTTTCAAGAGAAGACCCACACGAAACTAACTAGTATCATTTTCAGCAAATATCATTTAGAACCATTGTGCTAAAAAATGTGGCAGGAGCACTGCCAATTCCAAACACAAGTGGATGAATGGTCCCAGGTATTAGTTTATAAAGAGAATAAAAGGAAAAAGGTATTTTTATGGTATCGCATACTGTGTAATTTCGGTGATTAAGCTAGGTTTACAAAATAAGAAGGTATACTTCCCAAGGGTAAAGAACTATAGAAATCTGACAAATAATTATCATATCACTGCATATCTGTTAACCATGATTGACATAAACTGTGCAACACCAAAGGTTTCTTTATGTAAACCCAGAGTCAGTTTCTAATGAAATGTTGATCAAGATCGAACGTAACGATTAGGTGTTAGTATGTTACCGTATAACCAATCCTTGAACTGAGCATGAAGGGCAGTTGCCAATTCCCTTTTCCGATTCTCATCAAGCTGCAGCTCCCGAATCATCTTTTGGATATCTTCCAGAGCAGAATGCTGATAATGAATATAACATACTTAGGAACATGTGACCTTTAGGAATACAGCATGGTAAAATATAGAAGTGAACTGACTGTGCCAAACAATGTTTAAGAATATATCAAAATTTGCACTGTCTGTAAAACTTTATACTACTTTACTGAGAAATATAGAAACAATAATTTCAGACCTCATTCACCTTCTTGGATTAGGATTGGAGTATAGGACACTCAGAATTGGCATAGCACTAATGATGAAAACAGTAGACAGTAGGTACGTATGGTGGACAGAGAATTTTCTTCCCCGGTTTCCTCATGTTTTCCATTTCTTTGCCATGTAAATTCATAAAAATTATCAGAACTTACATTGATGTTTATTATTACCTCCATTCTAAGTCTAACTTTACCGAGTCAACAGGAAAATGCACCAACGTCTACAACACCAAATTAGTTTCAATAAATCCACCATGGAATATATCTTGATAGTGCATTTATTAGGCATTGTACATTTTAGTATATTTTTCCTATAAACTTGGTCAAAGTTAACTAAGTTTGACTTAGGACAAAACTAAAATGACCTACGATCTGGAATGGAGGGCGTAGCACACATGTAGCCATCAAACAGAATATATTATACTAAATGAAGAAAGTGAGGTTGCCCATGCCATTGTAAATAGAGAGCTGACAGAATCCACAAGTATACCCCAAGGTATTTTACATTCATGCATTATGAAATGAATAAGGCAGCTTCATATCAATTAATATTAGTTTTGAAACAGAAAAACATTTCTGAGAAGCCATTAGAACCTATGCTTAAGGGATGTATTATGCTTAGCTCTATTGACTTTAGTCACTTAATATACCTTTTTGCTTTGGAATGCCCCATAAATTTCAGGCAGTGGGAAAGGATTGCAGTTTGTAGGCTCTTGCCTTTCATCCCCAAACCAACTAGGAATCTGCAGAAGAGAAGTTAATATTTTTATTAAAAAAACAGCAGTTATATTAGCTAATAAAAGAATGCATCAAATGACAGGTTCAGCATCACTTAATATTTTTTAATTAAAAATAGCAGTTCTATTAGCTATAGAGTTTAGTCTCCTAGTAGTGTGTGGGATGTATTTGGGAGGGGGCTTTCTTTGCCTTACCCTTTTCCTGTGCAGTTTGTACAATTTTTTTCTTTCTTGGTGAAATGACACAGCTCTCATGTGTTGTTCAAGAAAAAAACAACGCATCACTTAAAATGCATCTTCCAGTTGGAAGCATCAGTGGAGAAAAAATGTGATAGATAAATCAAGAACTGACTCAAGTATTCTAGCATGCAGGTGATTCAAGTTGCCACATTGCAATTACTGCATGCAGCTGGCATATTTACAGAATGGACTCAATACTCACTTGCAACAGAAAAGATGAACAAGGCAAGAAACAATGTTTTCATAGCACATCAAGAACAGAGAAAAAGAAACTTTAAGGTAGAAGACTGATTGGATCTGTGCTTGTGTCGTTTTACAGAGCTAAAGCCTAAAGCTTTAACATACCAAAAAATTGGTGAATAGATCAGGATCCAGACATGTTGCTGATTCAGCTTTAACATCTGAAACCCCAGCAGGATGGGATAATGAATCATGTGGATCAACAACTCCCAACACAAAAGGTTGGTCCCATTTGTTGACACTGGGATTGACACCCACTTGCATCATATGATCCTGCAGCTGTGGGTAGCATGTATTGAATGGAGCAACCTGTTGATACAGATAAGGAAATTTACCATGAGAAAATATTAATTATTAAATACTAATGTATAGTGTAAATCACATCACTGAGTTCAATATTGTCCTTCACACTTATTTGATATTTCTATGTACCCTGAGTAGCAAACACTATGTATAATTATTGGCTTTAGACCTTGTATTTAAGCCATCCATTTAAGAGATGGGAAACCAACTATTTAAACCATCACCCCTACCACCGCCATTCAAAAGAGAAGAAGGCAAAGGAACAACAGAAACTTACTTGTAATTTATGGTTATCCCCCAACACAAGAGGTTGGTGATTTACTCCTAAGTAGAATATGCACTCACGGCAGTTGGCAATACAAATCCGTTTTGCAGCTGCAATGATATGCACTCTTTCACAATGCTCCACTTTTACTACCTGACAGCATAAAAATTCATAGACTTGTAAAACATTTCGCAATAAATAAAAAATATGTTACTAACTTACTATGACTTGCTAAAGTTTGATGGATAAGTCTTTGTGGGGCTGTTGCATGGTGGTTATCAAGGACAGCATCCTTGACTGAAGGACAGCATCTAGGACTAGCATCTTAGACTCTAGGACAGCATCTTAGGACAGCATCTTAGAGGACAGCATATTAGTATCTTAGACTAGCATCTTGGCATATGCTTGGCTGGCTAGCAGCCTATAAATATGTATCCCCAACCCCTCAGGTTGGCATGGCATTTGTGTGAGTTTGTGTGAGAAATAAAACCAGAAAATTGTCCCAACTCCTAGTGTCATCCTCTCTCGATGAGAGTAAGAATTCTGCTACTACCAAGAGTGAGAGTTCAACGACTAACAACTGGTATCAGAGCCGTATTATCCTGTAGCATGAGCATCTCCTGCTCATCTCCCCTCCCAGCCACACAACAGCCCCAGCTGCGATCAGCCAGCTCCGCCGCCTCTGCTCACTCTCCCAGCAGCTCGCTCTGAAGCAAGCAGCCCCGCAACGTCATGTCCGCAGGCGTCTCGGCCTTCGATGTCGCCTCGAGCACGCTGGCGTCGTAGGAGGCCAAACTTGCGCGGCAGAGGAACGCGAGCGAAGCGGGCGACAGAGATTGGCCGGCGCGGGCGTAAAAGCGTCGAGGTGGTAATGGCGGAGCTGGCAAAGCAGCCAGAGCGAGGAGGCGGAGCAAGGCGGCGGCGGCGAATGCGGCGGCGGCGCAAGAACGGAGGTCGAGGTTTCTGGTGGCGGCAAAGATCGGCAGCTCCATTTCGTGACGACGACACCGCCGACGCGGACCTCGGCCGCTAGAGAGGAGGCAATGGCGAAGCTTGGCTGGCGGCGATGGGCAGCGCAAGACGCCCACGAGCGTGGCGGCAGCCTGACAGCGCGACGCGCCTGGCGGCGCTCTGGAGGAGGCTCAGACGGCGGTGGCGCTCTGGGCAGCGCAAGACGCCCACGCAGCGCTGGCGGCAGCCTGCAGACAAGCGGCGACGCGCGGTGGCGCTCTGGAGGAGGCGCAAGACGCAGCGAATGGGCGGACGGGTCGATGGAGAGCGCGGCCTTCCGTGAGCTGCGTGGCTCTCTCTCCCGGATCGGTACCGACGGGTCGATGGAGAGCGCGGCCTTCACAGCGGCGTGGCTCTCTCCCGGATCGGCACCGTGGTTACCACGGGCTCTAGGTCGTTGTCGAGCGTCGGTCCCGGCGGTGGGTGGCCTACCACCAAGACCAACCACGCCGAGGGGTGCGGTGATGAGGTAAAGCTCCAGTGCGGCACATGTGGGAGGCGATCCGATCTGGCGATGTCGACCACGACCTAGATCGACGGTATTTGGATGCCCTCATCGCCGCAGATCCCGCCCGAGATGCGATTCTCGCCACCAAGCAAGCGGATCGCCAAGGAGGCTTGGGACGCCATCATTGCAAGCACGCGGCGGCAGCATGACCGCGCCCGCAAGTCCACACTACGTGCACTTCGCAGGAGTGGGAGAACACCGCCTTCAAGCCGTGAGGACGTTGATGACTTTGCTCTCCGTCTCAACACTCTATTGCGAAGAAGATGGTATGATTCGGCGGCGACACCTACGGCGAGAGAGAGGCTGTCGAAAAGCTATTCCGCTATGCGCCCCGAGAAGTACAAGCAGATGGCTCGCTTCGATCGAAGTCTGCTGGATCTCTCCACGATGTCGATCGAGGAGGCGATAGGTCGCCTCAAGGTCGTCGACGGCCGATGAGCCAGCGATCCCTCTGGGGCCCATCACCACTAAGCGGAAGCTCCTTCTCACTGGGAGGGGCGGTGGCTTGCCAGCCAAGGTGACCGGAGGAAGGGGAGCCTTCTTCCGTGTGATGCGGCCATAAGCGTGGCAAGCCGCGCAAAGCGCAGAGACGCCTTGAAGCCGGGGCGCGAGGGCGTGCAAAGGTGATGCCCATGAGGCGCCAGGCGGCACCGCCGGCAGAGCCAAGCCGACAAGACGAGGCGACACTGCCAGCGGCGGCTTGGCTATTGGGCCAAGGATCGTCGACAACCACGACGCGGCCGTGCCCACGTCGACAAAGCGGAGGAGCCGGCTCTGTTCATGGCACATGCTAGCATCAAGCTACTCTCGGTGATGCCTGGCATAGCTCTCTCTCCACCTTGACGAGCCAAAAGCACACGCCCTCCTCGGCGACAGCTCCCAAGAACGACAAGACCGGACGGGTGGTGCTCGACACCGGCGCCACCCATCACATGACCGGTCGACGGAGTTCTTCACCGAGCTCGACTCTAGCGCCCGAGGCTCCGTCAAGTTTGGGGATGCCTCCCGGCGTGGAGATCAAAGGCGTCGGCTCCGTCATCTTCCTGCAGGTGTCCGGTGAGCACAAGGCGCTCACCGAGTCTACTACATCCCGCGTTGAGGAACTCCATCGACTTGGGGACAATTTGGATGAGAACGGTTCGCTGCGTGGTGGTTGAGGACCGAGTCATGAGGATTTGGGATCGTCGCCGTCGCCTTCTTGCCAAGGTATCCGTAAGCGCCAAATCGACTCTACGCCCTTAACGTGCGGTGGCACAACCCCTCTCTCTCGCCGCTCGTCGGGACGACGAGGCGTGGCGATGGCACGCAGCGCGGGCACCTTCACTTTGAGGCCCCGGCGGCTCGATTGCCACGGAGATGGTGCGAGGCCTACCATACCTCGACCATGTGGAGCAACTCGCTGCGCGTCTGCGTGTTGACGAAGCAGAGGCGACTCCCCTTTCCCGGGCCGGGCGAAGCCGAGCCAAGGAGAGGCTCGAGCTTGTGCACGGGGACTTGTGTGGCCAGTGACACCGGCCACACCGGGAGGACGACGCTACTTCCCCGCGCTCGTCGGCGACCTCTCCCGTTACATGTGGGTGATGGTCCTCGGCTAGCACAAGGAGGAGAGGTCGCGGACGCCATCGTAGCGTTGAAGTTCTTCGCTGCCGGGAGGCGAGCGCGCCAGAAGTCAGCGCAGGTCACAAGACCGACAAACAACGTGGCGAATTCACGGCGGCTAAATTCGCGTCGTCATCACGGCCGACGAGGGCATTCAGCGCGCCACTACTCCGCTACCGCATGACCCGCGCAGTGAGCGGCGTCGTCGAGCAGCGCAACCAGACGGTTGTGGGGATGGTTTCGGGCCCTCCTCAAGCGAGAGGGATGCCGTGCATCTTCTCGGGAGAGGCGGTGGTGACGGCCATCTACATCATCAACCTTCGCCCACCAAGGCACTCGATGGCGGGGCGGCCGACGAGGCTTGGCATGGGCGCAAGCCGGCGATAGCCTCCCACTGCGGGTCTTGGTACGCCTCGTGTTCGCCAAGGAGCTTGGCCACATCAAGAAGCTCGACAACAAGAGCACTCGGAGTGTTCATCGGCCACGCGGAGGCTCGAAGGCCTACCGCATCCTCGACCGAAGACACGGCGTGTGCGCGCGGCTTGCGCAGCGTTGTGTTCGGACGAAAAAGAGGATGGGCGTGGGACAAGAAGCGGTGGGCGACGGCTCGGCTTCGACGCACGACGACTTCATTTGTCGAGTACGCCCACTTCGAGGGAGTCGGGGAGTAGGCGCTCTTCTTGGCGAAAGCACGTCTACCCCGGCCCCGAGCCTCCACCGACCGGTGCTGCTTCTCCAAGCGACAAAGACCACGCTCTCCGGCTAGGACCTCGAGCTGCGATGAGTTCTTCACGGCTCCACCACAACGACAGCATAACGCCACGCACTCCAAAGACCGACAGCACCACTCCGCACACGTCTACACCACCGGCTCGTGTCGAGCACGGCCGGTTGAGCTCGCTACTCCGCTCTCTCACGGCGAGAGCGCGTCAGCGCGTACCACGACGGCGAGCCGTTGCGGTACCGCACGATGGAGAACCTTCTCGGCAACCAGCCGGTACCGGGACCGGTGCCTCACAACCTGGAGGCGCAGTTGCACCTTGCGTGTGACGACGGCGAGCCTCGGCCGTTTGCAGAGGCTGAGAGACACGCGGCATGGCGCGCCGCGATGCAGTTGGAGATGGATGCGGTTGAGAAGAACCGCACCTATGAGCTTGCTGACCTTCCTCGTGGTCACCGCGCGATAACCCTTAAGTGGGTGTACAAGCTGAAGAGGGATGAAGCCGGTGCCATCGTCAAGCACAAGGCTCGCTTGGTGGCACGAGGTTTAAATGCGGCAAGAGGGGTCGATTTCGACGACGCCTTTGCTCTGCGGCACGGATGGAGTCCGCGGCGACTCCACCTTGCGCTTAGTCGCCTGGGAGGGTGGCGTGTTCATCACATGGACGTCAAGTCGGCGTTCCTTATGGCGACTTGAAGGAGGAGGTCTACGTGCACCACCGCCGGGTTTGCGATCCCGGCAAGGAGGCAGGTGCTCGCTTCGCGCGCAAGGCCCTCTATGGCTTGCGGTGAGACCGAGGGCGTGGAATGCCAAAGGTGGATTCCACGCTAAAGGGATGGGCTTTGAGCAAAGCCCGCGACGAGGCGACCATCTACCGATGGGGCAATTGGAGGAAATGCTCTGGCTGGTGGGTGTGTCACGTCGACGACTTGGTGATCACCGGCACCAAGGATGCGAGGTGGCGGCATTCAAGGAAGAGATGAAGGCCACCTTCCGGATGAGTGACACGGGACCTCTCTCCTTCTACACGGGGATCGAGGTGCACGGAATGACTCGGGATCACGCTTCGACTGCACCGCTCACGCCAAGCGTCGTTGAGCTAATTGGGCTCACCGGCGCAACCCAACTCTCACTCCGATGGAGGAGAGGTGAAAGTCGAGCCGCGACAAAGACGACGGAGGTGGACGCTACACATCTGACGGCGTCTTGTGGGGAGCCTTCGCTACCTCCCCACACGGCCGGACTTGGCATTCTCCGTCGGCCACGTTAGTCGGTTCATGCAATGACCGACGACGACAGAGCACCCAGTGGTGTGAAGAGGATCATCCGCTACGTTGCGGGGACTCTCGACCACGGCCTCTACTACCCGAGGTGCCCTGGGCAAGCACACTTCGCGTCGGGCATAAATGACAATGACCACGCCGGGCGACATCGACACCAAAGAAAAGCACGAAGGGATCCTCTTCTTCCTCGGCAAGTGCCTTGTTAGGTGGCAATCGGTCAAGCAAGCAGGTGGTGGCCTGTCATTGTGCGAGGCCGAGTACATAGCTGGCCTCCACCGCCGACTCAGCGCCTGCTCGGCTCGATCGCTTGGTGATCTCCTCGGTAGAGACACTAAGGGCGGTGGAGCTCAGGTGGACAAACAAGTCGCGCCTGCCCCGGGCAAAGAACCCCGTCTTCCATGAGCGCAGCAAGCACATCGGGTGAGGTACCACTTCATCCGAGGTTGTTTGGCGGAAGGGAGCATCGTATGAGCTACATCAACACCAAGGACCGACTTGCGGACTGCTCACCAAGCCCCTTGGGAAGATCAAGTTCCTTGAGCTCATTTCGAGAACCAGGGATGGTTCAACTCTCCCACAACACGACGCACAAGACTAGGGGGGAGAATGATGGATAAGTCTTTGTGGGGCTGGTCTTTGTGAAATTCTTTGCATGGTGGTTATCAAGGACAAGCATCCTTGGTGAAGGATGACATCTAGGACAAAGCATCTAGGACTAGCATCTTAGACTCTACGACAGCATCTTAGGACAGCATCTTAGAGGACAGCATATTAGCATCTTAGACTAGCATCTTGGCATATGCTTGGCTGGCTAGCAGCCTATAAATAGTATCCCCAACCCCTCAGGTTGGCATGGCATTTATGTGAGTTTGTGTGAGAAATAAAACCAGAAAATTGTCCCAACTCCTAGTGTCATCCTCTCTCGATGAGAGTAAGAATTCTGCTGCTACCAAAAGTGAGAGTTCAACGACTAACAAAGTTTTACCAATGCAATTAACTACTGGGATAGACTGGGAAGGTGGTAATGAAATAGGAGGGAGTGGGGGATCAGAGAGCTATAGGAGGACGAACAGTAGAGATGGGTTCAGGATTCAATTTCACCAGTGTCTCTCGTTGATACAGGTCTTCAATTCTTATAGCAAGGCATGTACTCTGACAAAAGGGCCACAGGCCATGGTCCATGAAAAGCTTAATTCTTTACAAGAAAAAACACCTTGTGCACATTGGTGCACAGAACACGTCTAGGACACAACCCAGAATATCTCCCCACACAGCTGACCTATCAGCTACCTACATCATCTACAGCCTATTTCTGCAAGACTGCAACCATAAAGTAGAATCTGATTGTTAGCTTGCTGCAGTCCCATTCCTTGAGAGCTAAATTTTGTAACTCCTAAACAGTCACAACCTTTGTTGCAACTGGAGTACTGGACATCAATTAAGATTTTACAAACCACAACAAATATCCACGGCAATGGCAGGTTATCTGCAAAGCTTATAAAAGTACAAAGCAATGAATCATACATGTGAACAAAGCCACTGTAGCCCAAAATAGGCAGGTGGCAGATCCATTTCAGACTTATCAAGGAAGCAAGTGGAATCATTCTTAAACAAAATATAGATGAAAATAAAACAGAGTAACCAGAAAGAAAATTCAATCAACAGAAATAGAATTATATGCATACCTTACCAACAGCACCAAGAACAACTGTAGCATCAGAACAGCCGTACACAGTAGCATACTTCAGCGGTGCTAATATGTAGATAACAGAATCATGGCAGTTCAAAACCTACAAAAGGAGTTTGCAATTTAAGTTATAGATGGGTTCATTGTTCAAGTCAAGAAGCAATATAATCGCAGTAGATTAAAGCAATGTGAATTGTGAAACTATATAAAACATAAAACACTTCCTCTGCCCAACAATCATAAGGTATATTTTGGTACAAGAGTCTCCAAAAGTATATCTTGACCATTAATTTATCTTACAGTATATTGTCATTTTCTACAAAATTAACATCATCTTGAAAGGTATTTTGAACTATTGATAAAACATCTATCTATACTCTAAAGATGCGTATGAGTAGACAAATTGCTGGTCAAAAATCACGGAGTGTGAATTTTCAAATCAAAATACTCTTTCATATATGAACGCAGGGAGCACATGCCTTTATGCAAACCAAAGTTGCTAGATGCAGGGTTCTGAGTGTTAGTAACTTAGTATAATCCCTGCTGTTAGCATAATCCTTGCTGCTGTTAGTATTTTGTTAGAAGGGCAGGCCTGGTGCAGTGGTGAGAGCTCTCTCACTGAGTCACCAGGTCGTGGGTTCGAAGCAGCCTCTCCGCAGATTTTTGCGGGGGAAAGGCTTGTCTCGGTTTATCCCTTCCCCAGACCCCACTCATGTGGGAGCCTCCGGCACTGGGTCTGACCTTTTTTTTTTGTTAGTATTTTGTTAGTGAGTCAAGTCAAGGCCTGTAAGTATGTTAGTCCACTCTAGTCTTCCTCTTAATTTCTAGGAAAGTCACTAGGTAATTTCTAGGAAAGCTACTAGGGCTGTTTTCTGTACTCTCTTTTAGCTAAAAATAAGATATAAAGGCACCAGCAAGCTACAGCACATAGCAGCCCAAAATCAGCCTCCATCTCTCTCAAAGTGTAGTGCAGCAGCAGCAGCAACAAGCAGCTGCATATACCACTATCAATCCTAACACTGAGTAGCCTCCACTGAGGTTACACTTTAGTTCTTTTTCCAGATCAAATTATTGACCCATATATTTCTTTTTTTCGGTTTAAACGTCCTCTGGACACTGGCCCACATCGTGATAGTCAGAATTATCATCTCTCTACCCAAAAGCTACAATGTAGTGTTTCGTCTTCTAATCTAAGAACTAGTACCTGGCAGAGATTGGTATAAACCCAGTGAAAAATTTACGCTTGATAGTGTTTGAAGTGCCATTTCAATAACCAGCTAAACACAACATGTTATGACCATATATATAGATACAATAGAATGACGGTGGTCAACTTTTGTAGCTTTGAGCATATAGAATTATAGATACATAGAAATACTTAGATTAAGATTGGTCATACAGAAATTAATAAATGATAGCATCAAAACTACTTACATATAACTTTCATTTCTCAGTTTTGTGAATGTATAATTAAAAAAAGTAATAGTCAAAAGGTGTGTAGAGGGACCATACCAATGCCCACAGTGACAGTTAAAGAAAAATGGAGAGACAAATGCAATCACTCCAAAACTTACGAAACCATAGTTTATATTTATGAATTTTGAAATCCAACTTTGCATATTTGATGGGGATAACACTCCAAAGTTTTGCTAAAGGAGAAAGATTAAAAACTATCAATGACCATTATCCAGAAGTTAGCTATTCGCAACAAACTATCAATGTACCTTTATTGAATTCCCTTTGATATCAGATGCATGCTTGACAACGGAGGTTTTGGAAAAGCCCTCCACAAACGTTACGTTTCTGTAGTATGCAGGATTGGCACTTGGTGTGCTGTTCCGTGGGTGACTTGTGTTGGCCTCAGCCATGGTCACATCAAGATCAGACATGGTTTGCAGGTTGCTTTCCTTTGCTGCGGACCTCTCAGCAGAATATTCCAGTGAAGAAGCTATGTTCTGTGACATCCAATCAAGAACCTGAGCAGCAGGGACAGGCGCAGCAGGCATGTCTGGGTCTGAGTTTGCAAAAAATGTAGCAGCCTGGCTCAAGGAAGTTCCTTCTGAGAATTGAACTAGAAATCCAAGGTGCTCAAAAGTCTCCATTGTCAATACCTGCACAAAAGTCAATGCAAATAACAGTCAACAACTCTTTAGAGTCAGCATTCTGCAATACAACGGTCTTGTCACATGCAGCTTTGCCCCACATTGAAGAGTAAGGCACAGTACAGACATCAATATAATCTTTCATGTGTCCATTTCTTAAAAAAATCCCAGCCCACATTTTATTCAAGGTCCAATTAAAGTTTGTATGTCAAAACCAAAAAAAAACAATTACTTTCAAAACAATATCCTAAAGGGGCTACAGGACACTAAAAGTGAAGACACTCTGGTTCGTGACAAACTTACTAGAAGACACTGGGTACATTAAAATTCATTTCTGGCTCGGAAGGAGAGAGAACTATGGTGAAATGACACTTTTACCCCTGGCCCTTCTTCCTCCCTTTCAATTCTTTCTCTTTCCTCCCATTTCTCTCCCCTTGCAGTGTGAGCACAGTCCATCGGCAGGGGCCTCGCCGGCGGCGATGTGCGACCCGAACAGCTACTCCATCCCCTAGCGCACCTGTGGGTGGCTGCAATTTGGCCGGTGGTGGCCTGCAGCAAGCCAGCCATGGGCAAAGACGGCATGGCCGGCGTGACATGACTGCAGTACGGTGGCAAAGGGGATGTGGGTGGTGGTGCGGCTTGCGGAGGCACACACCAGGTTTGCAAGGATGTGAGGCTCAACCAGGCAGCTCTCAGGCTAAGCAAGCGACAGCCATTGGGCAGGGTGGCAACCGAATCAGCACGGCGCCTCCCAAGCTCGTCGCCAACGTCGTGCTAAATTCGGACAGCAATAGCCACCGTTCGTCGATTCAGTGCACACAACGCACCCCCCATCCAGGCACACATGCTCAATCCACTAGTGGCCTCTCCCTCGTCGGCCGCAGAGCGCTGCTTCCTCGCCGGCGCTATGCGCACCTCCATGGTTGTCCACGCGTGCCCCCACGCCTCGCATCTCTCACAGTCGCAGCCGCGGCTGAGCCCTACGCGCAGCCACGCCACATGCTCGAGCCCCGCGCACAGCCATGCCACACGCCTGCCAAGGCCCCGTGCCATGACCGCCTTGGTCCTACAGGAGAGAGAAAGGGGAGGAAAGAGAAATAATAGAAAGGGAGGGAGGAAGAAGGGACAGGGGTAAAAACATTGTTTCACCGCAGTTCTCTCTCCTCTCGAGCTGAAAATGAATATTTTAGTGGACCCAGTGTCTTTCAGCAAAATTGTCACAAGCCAGAGTGTCCACCAGCAAATTGGACTTTTTCGGTGTCCGCTGGCAAAGCGACTTCACTTTTAGTGTCCTGTAGCATTTCCCTACCCTAAAATAAACAGACAAAAGGAAGAAACGTCATTTGGACCATATATATCACCGTCTGCATAAAAGATCCATTCCTCACTCTTTTAATTTTGATTCTAAGATTAGTTGTAGACATGTTTACCTGTTGTTGATCTCTTTCATGAAAACTCACACCATATCTCATATTATACTAGTGAAGGCCTACATCTTGAAAAAGGTGAAAACAGAACTTTACATGCCATTTTACAGGAATCACCCATTTCTATTACTGTCTACTCTGATGTTTAAGGCTATTGTTTAACCAGCTGTTCATCATCTCAGCTTTAGCAGGAAAATCAGAAAACAAAACATGCCTGAGCATATTGCTCAGCAGAAATGGTGGCATACCAGTGAATCATCACCCTCACCCTCAACAGAATCTGCCAAGAGAGTAAGAATATTCGCCATATGCTTTTGCAGATAGGACAACTGACTTAATTTCTTCATCAGCTTGAGAAGGCATAAAACGACGGCTGTTACTGCGAACAAGCTGCAAAACAATATAAATTGGAATAATTAAAGGCAGGTTAGAGGTGATTTTAAAATTATAGACAATCTAACCACTTGAAATGGAAGATGGCAGCGCAGCTAAAACTGACTAGGGCTACAGTCAATAACAAAGAAGTAAAGGAAAGCTTGTTTGGCAGAGCTCCCAGTGCAGCTCCTAGGTTATACGATATTATACAGAAGATTGTATGAAATGATTCTCTGAAATGAAACAAGGACTGAAGCTGAAAAAATAAGTTTCTCCTGATTCACTTCCCAGATAGAATCACTTCCTCGGTAGAGTTTATCTTATAGAATTTGAGTCACAAAAACACTTCTCTGAGAGAATAACTCTTTCACTTCCCACAGAGGATTAGAAGCAAGAGGAGCTCTACTAAAATGACCCACAAAAGATAAATTGTATTGTCATGCCTTCGAATGAAAAAAAGGTTGATTTAACTATTTATGTTGTGGATATGGTCTGGGTCCCGAATAGCTATAGCTGTCATTTTGAATCAAACTTGCTGCTTCAAAAACACAATGTGAAACTGGAACCCAAAGTATTAATTGTGAATAGCTCTCTATATACAAAGATGAGCGAACACTCTGCAGGCAAGGAACCTATAGGAGTTAGTGCACATTGGGTACTATTTACATTTAGTATACAAATTTAAATCATTGTGGGCACATGGATTTAAGAAAATATCAGTTCTTTATATTCACCATTCAAAAACGGAGAACCAGACACACTTCAGAGCGATGATCTGATCTGTGCAGTGTAGTCCGGGTGACACTGTATGTTTCACAGGGAATTTACTTGCAGCTATTTAAACCCTATGATGAAGTGTAAATCATATATGAAACAGAGAGCCTAGATTTGCTAGTTAGGAAATTACACTGTTATAAGGACATGGAATATGATACAATTATCAAGCAGTGGCTATCAAGTGAATTTCAGCCAAAATCAGAACGTCTAATCTACTTACAGCATGTATGCATGCTAAGTAATTTGCAGATATATGGCAACTTATTGAGGCCAAGCGACCATATAATTGCTATACTAGGTCTACTGGTATAGCCATCATAGACATGGACTATAGTCTGCAGTCGCGATATCTCTTGCTGAACATTAAGTCTCCAAGGGCTCGGGAGCTGAGTCTATGGAATTCCAGTTTTAGCAGTCACCTGCCTCGATCTGTGGCTGGATGTTTTCTAGAGCAGCATCACATGATAACAGGGTGGCAATAGTCTCTTTGATGGGTCTGTCATCACTCATCAGGGATGTCAAAACAGCATTTTGACAGTGCTAGGTTCCTATGGTGAGGTGTGCCATGGGTGTGTGCCATCGAGAATACTAACAGGCAGGCCTCTAGTATAGCACAATTTCAGCAGTCAATGAACGGTATTCAAGGTTTGGTTGTTGCCGGGTACAGGGGTACGGTGCCACCGTCCCACTGAGATGTCGCGTCTAATTCACAAATGAACGTGAAACACATTATGCTCTGCATCGACTACTAGCACTCGCATCACAATCGTTTTGAAAAGCGATCAAACGAACGGGACGTGTTAACCCTGACCTGGATCGGGGAGAGCGCGGAGAGGTACCCATCGAACGCGGAGGTGGAGGGCCAGACGTCCGCCACGGCGGGCGAGTCCTTGTGCGCGCTCCGCGGGACGAGGCGCTTGTAAGACTGGATGTAGAGGAAGAGCAGCACGTCGCGGATGTCCGCGGCCGCACCATCCACGGCGCCGTCCCCGAGCGCGGGGTCCTCGGCGGGGAGCACTGCCGCGAGCGTGCCGAGGGCGAGCGCCGCCTGCTCCTGCGGGATCTGCAGCGCCTCCGCCAGCGCCGCGGCGGGCACGCGCCCGTCGGGGGCCGAGGCGGCGAGCTTCTCCTTGAGCTGGGCGAGGGTCTGCGCCAGAGTGCCCTCCGGGAAGATGAGCTTTGGGATGGGCAGGAGCCCGTGCTCGAACGCCTCCCGCCGCGGGCGGAGCAGCGCCGCGGGGGACGGGGTGGCGGGGGCCGGCGGCGTCGCTGGAGCCGGAGACGGAGACGGGGCCGCGTCCGGCGGCTGGTCCAGGGCCTCGTCGGCCATCGCGGCGACGCGAGAGGGGCGTGGAGGAGGGAGGGGGGAGATCTGGGAGTGCGGTGTGGGAATGGCGAGGATCGGAGGAAGTGGCTTGATGCGGAGCCTCTCTCTTTTTTCTCTCTCTTTCTCTTTTTTGAAGGGTAGTTTGGGGTTTCTAATCTGGTTTCGGTCGTGGCAAGATGGGATTAGCACTTCAGCAGCATTCGTTCGTACCCGAAATGGACGACGGACGTGTGGCCCGGCCAGGCACGTCACGGCCCGAATCCCCACGTACTCAACCCGTGCGGCGTGCGTGCTTGTGGGCCGTTGCCCGTGGATGGATGACGGCCTGCCTGCGGCCTGGGCACGCAGCCACGCACACACCACCTCCGATCGATCTGTCGTCGTGAGCCGCACAACGGCACGAGAGCACGTGCACGTACGGGCCGGGCCAGGTGCCCGGTACGTGTTGGGTTTAGGGCCTTTTTGAACGTGGAAAAATTTCCCTTGTGTTTTTTCTTAAAATTAAAGCGATTCGTGGAAATTTTTATGCGATTCTTGTAAAATTTCTCACGTTCTAAACAGGCCATTACCTTGTCTCTCTCGTTTTTTTCAAAAACAATCTTTATGGCTCACTTCGGATATAAAGTATTTTGGAGTTTTAGAAATACATAGCTTTGTTTGGTTGAAATTTGAAACGATCGATATCGATCGTGGATTATTCTTCTTTGGCTAGTTTGGTGTGAGAGAAAAATACTGTTCTGACTGGAAATTTATGATCGTTTACAAAGCGAACAGGCCGACAACTATCGGTGTTTCGAGTAAACACCAACGAGTAAATTTGTATTATTGCGCGTTTGGCCCGGATGGTATGCTAAAAAGACACAAGGTTTATACTGATTCGGGCAGAATGTCCCGTCTAGTTTGTGGTTGCTGCTCATGTTATTTGCACTAAAAAGTTCATAGTAGGGGAAACAAACTGGCGTGAGAGGGATAGGTCCTAAGTCTATGATGGAAAGGTCGAACGGGTGCTGAGAGCTTGATGTTGTTAGCTATGTGGTGTGATGTGTTTGGAATCAATCCGTCTCCTTAGTGGGGCGCCCTGCCTTCCCTTTTATAGACCAAAGGGAAGTAGGGATTACAGATGAGAGAAAGAAGAAAAACCAGAGGCCAAGTAGGTCCTTCACAGATGCCGGGTCTTTCTTTTTCTCTGAGCGAGCCCCGCTGACACGGCAGACGGTGCCAAGGATAGCTCCATGCTGGGTGCATGTTTGTCGATCCTAATAGGGTCGCGCTGGGCGTCTATCCACTGATGATGCCATATTCTGGCTTTGTTCGTAAGTGATCACGTCCCATCCCGCCCCGATGGACGGCGTGGCGATTTACGTGGTGTTGATCCACGACCCTACGGGAGTAGGCGAAGCGATGACCGCATGTTCGTTCATCAGAGGCGGCGCGAGTCTCCTCCTAGACCGTAGTGGTTGTCGTATGCTTCCATCAAGATCTGTGCCCGAGGGCAAGTGGCGGTGCCCACAACACTGTAAGACAAATGTCGACACCTACTACACTGTTCGAGCTCTGACATGCCTGAAAGTACTTAAAGCGCCCGTCTTGTAATATCCTGACGGTACTTTCCTGCTGGTATGCAGGGTATGGTCCTCGGTACTACGGTTAACTTGAGTGCCCTGTCTTATTCGCGTGCGTAGTTATGAAGGAGCAGTGCATATGTTTCGGGCGAGGTGAGCCCCTCGGACGTCGGATGAGGCGGAGTCAGCCCCCGAACGTCGGGCGAGGCGGAAACAGCCCTCCGAACGTCGGGCGAAGCTGAGTCAGCCCCCGGACGTCGGGCGAGACGGAAACAACCTCGACGCGTCGGGCAAGGCTGAGCTAACCCTCAGGGGTCGGACGAGGTGGAGCCAACCCTCAGGGGTCGGGTGAGGCGGAGCCATCCCCTGGGAGTCGGCCAAGGTCGAGCCGGCCCTCGGCTGATCTGGACGAGGCGGAACCCATGACCTTGGTGGCTGAATGAGGCAATGCCGGCACAAGAGGTGCATTGTGCTCCTAATCTTTGGGGACTAATCAATGTTGATAGGTATTAACTCCTCCTCTTTGGGTACCCTACTATTGGTCCCCGACAAGAGCCCCGAGCCCTCGGGTGATTTGAGTAGAATTGTCTGGAGGATTTTTGGCTCACGGTGGTGTAGCGTGAGCGCACTGGTGGGTGTAGCCCCGAGCCTCATGGAGGAGTAGAATACTCCTTTCGGAGGTTTTTTGATTTGCCCGGTAGTGCTGTATGCACCTGTGGGTGTTGCCCTAAACTGCTTAGAGAAGTAGAATACTCCTTGGAGGGTTTTCCAAAAGAGAGGATTTCGAGAGGCCCCTGGCCTCCATTGTTGCCCAAGGCGTGCCACGAAGATGGCGATTTCTTCTTTGCGAGGTCGGACCCTTCGTGGGTATGGTCGTGAGATTTGGTGGTTGTTTAGCCGGATAGCTCAATTGGGATCCCGGTATCCCATTTGCGGGGATCCGACCGGGGTCATCCGGTGAGACTCGATCGTGAGCCAACACTCCCTTGAAGTTTGTGAGCCTAAGTTTTGGCGCTCATGGGCCTATCCTTTGTCGTAAGGTCGCCTAGGACGATCGTCGAAACCATTGATGGGCCGACCCTCGAACTCCTAGGCCCAGCAGCCGAGAGGAACGCTTCTTGACCCATATCCCTTTGCGGTAGAAGAGTCTGGTTCGCCTGAGGAGGCAAAACGTCTGGTGCATTCTTTGGAGGAAATGATAGGGATTGCGGCGCATATCCCGCAACGTGACGTGGTGGCGGATCATGGCGACGCGGAGATCCGAGCGGATGGTTGTCTTCCTCACATCCGTCGCCCTATAAAACCAAAGGGTTCACCCCGTGGTTTCGTACTTTTGCCTCCTTGCCTTTGCATCTACAACCTCCGCCGCCAATCACCTAAGCCTCCCGCATCCGCGTCTCGCCCGTCGTCGAATTCGCATCAACACACTCCAATCCTCCAATGGAGCCATGGTGCGCTCGATATCACCCTCTAGCACCTAGAGGGCCTCGAATTCACGCGGTTTTTTTTTCTGAGCGGACTCATGGCGAGGAGTGGCGGTGCTGGCGATGAGGACGCGCTGTCGCCGCCTCCGACGGCTACGTCGTGTCCTTCGCTCACTTCCACGAGCGGGGATTCGCCATACCCGCCCACAAGTTCCTTCGGGGGTTGCTGCATTACTACAAGGTGGAGCTACGCACCTTAATCCTAATGGAATCAAGCACATTGCGGCGTTCATCACCACAATGTGAGGGGTTCACGGGATTAGTCCCCACTTTGACACTGTGGTGGTATTTCTTCGCCGTCACCCTCCTAAAGAAGCGGGAGAAGAGGAGGCGAGCTGAACGTGCCGATGGGATGCACCAAACATCGCTCATGAATAAGCCCAGGTCAACGAGTACTCGCCGATGTGTTTGTCGACCTCCAATAAGGGGTGGCATTTGCATTAGTTTTACGTTAAGAATGATGCAGCCGCCCCCTTGCCAGAGTTCACCGGGCGCCTCATCTTAGAGGTCCCAGAATCGTGGAGGAAGTGGGGAGTCCGAAGAAAGACAAGAAGAGAATCGGGACCATCTCACCGCCATCCGGATCCACGAAGGAGAGGGGCATGAAGGAGTCGGGGATCATCGACGCCTACCACACGTGGAGAGTGGCGCCGGCTGATGAGGCGCGCGTGCTTCCCTACACATGATGGTGCACAGGGCATCACTCGACGAGATGATGCTTGCTTAGGGGCGCCCTCCCCCTCGAAGTGGGCGCGATTGCATCAAGAAGGCGATGGAGCCTCTGGACGGGGACAACCACCATTATTTGTCGTCGAAGTTTTGTGTATCTGGTGCCGGGGCACCCCCAATGTGGCTAGAACGGGGTACATCACATTCATAAGTTTTCTTTCCTCGTGCCTCCTTTTTTAATTGAACTCCCGACCCTTGATGTTGATATTGAAATAGGGGACCAGACGAAGAAACTCGTCCTCCAGGACCACCTAGCTCATTGTTGAAGGACCCGCGTCAGGATTTGGCGCCAACCGCATCGAGGCCGAGTGGTAGAGGAAGGCGAAGGAGGAAGAGAGGAGGAAGAAAGAAACAAAAGGTCAGAGGCACGGGAGCGAGGGGAGGATACGAACAGTGATGATGACGATAATGACGAGGAGGAGGATGATGAGGTAGCTGCCGACATCGAGTGGGATGACTGGCGGCGAGGATACTGCGATGGTATCCACTCATCCATGCAGGGACCCTTCCCATTTCATGCTGGGGGAGGCGAGTCCGTGAGGCCGAAGGAGGTGGGATGGATCATTGGCCCATCCTCAGAACCAGTAGGGGCGGGCGGTTCTGGCTGCGCCGTGCCTCAGTGCCCGGCAAGAGAGGGGGGCACCCGCCATGCCTCAAGAGCGGGTGAGGCGGGTGGATCCGCCGCCATGCCCCAAGAGCGAGTGGGGCAACGGATCCGCCGTTGCCCCGAGATGCCGAGGGCAGGAGTCGCTCCACCGCCGCATCCTCGGATGCATGGGAAGCGATCTCCTTGGCCCGGGAGCAGGGGCGGGTGCAAACGGCCTGTCTCGAGGAGGTGGAGCGAGGACTTGGGGTTCACCCCCAAACGCGTCTCCACCGCTCCTTGGCGCCAACATAAGTCACCAACTCCTCGGTTTTCTCTGTTTTTCTCCATTTTTAGCGTGACTTACACCTTTTGTTTCTTGCAGCGTCCTCAGATGGGGCAAATCTTTGGCGCTGGCGCCCAAGAAGAGTGTCACCATTCAGGCGAGATGGCGGCCGTCGCCCGGCGTCTCTCCCGTTCGGGAGAGCGCAGTAGGTGTCATAGCCTCGTCGGCCAGTCAGGCGCCACCCATGGTGGTGCTCGTGCCCTCGGCAGGTCAAGCGAACGTCGGGGCTGAGGGAGCGCCTTGGAGGTCATCGAGCAACCGGCGACTGAGGTGATTCTGCTGCTGATGTTGGGGCGGAC